TTTGTCTTTTGTCTTTTTTTTTTTTTTTTTTTTTAAAAAAAAAAAAAGATACTTATTTAAAATCATAACTATTATCTTTAGGTAATTATTCCACCAAGTATTGATGGATATAATAAACCTACACAATTCACCGTAAAAATTGCCTATCACAAAGAAATTAATTTACAAGTTTTAAGGGATTATATTAAATCAGGAAAAGAACCGGAAGGACTCGATGATTATATTCAAACTTGTGTTCACGCACTTAATGCATACATAAATTACAAAGTGCGCACAAGTTTTTTATCTGTTGGAAGAGGAATTTATCCTCCTATCCAGGGGGAAAGAAGAATTTTGTTACAAAGTGGAGAAGAATTAAGAAAAGGGTTTTGTCAATCGTTGAGAATCGGATGGAGTAAGTTATTTTCCGATCTAAATATTATAATCTTAGCTTATACGATATCTATGCTTATACATACATTCATTGTTCGTATAATCCTTACAGAAGAGCTTCTTGTTAACGTTGACACGTGTTCTGGCATTTTTTGTCCACCTGGAAATGTTGTAAACGTTATTGGTACCTTCTTAGGATACAGCGAAAGTGATTTGAAATTAGGACTCTATGACGAGGATAAATTTTATTTAAATAAGGTGAATAGAAAGTTATGATTAAATTATAAGTTGTTTGTTAATTTACTTAAAGAAAAACATTATATTTTTATAGATTTTGAAAGGAATTAAAATTTTCGTCCGGCATCGTGATGATAAAAGGGAGACTTTTACCATTGATGGGTTATCACGTGAATCAGCAGATCAAACCACATTTAAGAATGGCCAAGATGACAAAAATTCGACAGTTAGTCAATACTTCCAGGATACATATGGGAAAAAGCTTGAATTTGGAAAGTTGCCTTGTATCGTTGCTAAGAAAAAAATTTATCTTCCTCTAGAAGTCTGTGAAATTATACCAGGTTTGTTTCAGACGAATAATTCAAGATGAAACTCCTTTATTCTATTTCTCGTTTCTTATGCGTAATTCCATTTTTTTAAGACCAACCTTTCAGAGGCAATATCAGCGATAATGCACGCGCTGAAATGATTAAGCATACTTGTGTCAAACCTGCTGATCGTTT